TGTATAATTTGCCCTAATTTCTTTAATTGCATACAAACGTTCACGGCTCAACCACCAACGAGCATCTGCCACGTAAACAATTACAGTCAAACACCGCGGGCTAGTGTGTGTGTGTGTGCGCGTATATGTACATGCATGTGTATGTATTTTCATGGGACTGAAATGAGTGGTAAAAGTGTCAGAACAGTGGGAAAAAAAGAAGGGGTTGATATTAATGGAGAAGAAAGATATGGGAATTTATATATATATATATAAAAAAAAAAAAAAAAAAAAAGGAAGCTCACCACAGAGGATCTACTGATTAAATCTGTGGAATAATAATATAAGTAATTTTTCCGGTCCTTTTCATCATTCATTATTGAAAAAATATAGTTTTCAATCTAAATATTTGAGGGTATTTAAAAAAAATATATAATAATAATAAAGGAAATGCGACAGGGAAAAAAGTGTGGGGCCATTCTTGAAATAATTTTGGTAAAATAATAAATAAAGCACAAAAATTCAATATGAGAGAGAGAGAGAGAGAGAGGAGAGAGAGTAAAAATTAATTATGTGAGATTCGATTGGTGGTGGCCTTATATAAAGAGAGTAAAGAGATGTTGGGGTTTTACTTCTTTTATATTTCGCTCAACATAGAAAAAAAAATAATTAAATAAAAGAGGAGTGAGAAGTACTCTATCTTCATCATCATCATCATCAAAAAAACAAGTGAAATTAAATAAGCTCAGCAGCTAAAGAAAAAAAAGAAAATGGAGGAGCAGCTAAACTCACTGGCTGTGACGCATCTACTTCAACACACACTTAGAAGCCTATGTATTCATGACAACTCTCAATGGGTGTATGCTGTTTTCTGGAGGATTTTGCCTAGAAATTATCCTCCTCCCAAGTAATTATTTAATATTTTTATTATTTTTTTTTGTTCTTCTATATATATATATATATATATATATTTTTTTTTTAAATTCTGATATATATAAACACATATATGTTTGTATATATTATATAGGTGGGATAGCCAAGGAGGAGTATATGACAGGTCAAGAGGGGTTAGAAGGAACTGGTATGTGTAAATAAATTATTATTAGGGTCCATAAATTATTGTAACACTTTATGAAAATAAATTTTAGTTCTTGATTATTATTTTTTTTTAATTTAAATTTGGGTGCAGGATATTGGTTTGGGAAGATGGTTTCTGCAATTTTGCTGCCTCAACGGGTGAGATTAGCGGCGGTGGTGGCGAAAACTCGTCGGTATACGAGTATCAGCACTATCAAGGGCTTCAGCCTGAGCTCTTCTTCAAAATGTCCCATGAAATCTACAATTATGGTGAAGGGTAATTAATTAAGAGGGATTTAATATTATTTAAATAATCAAGGGGTTTACCCTTTTAATGTTATTTAATTGAATTGAATTGAATTGAATTTTGGCAGTTTGATTGGAAAAGTGGCTGCTGATCACAGCCACAAATGGATCCACAAAGAACCAAATGATCAAGAAATCAACTTCTTGTCTGCATGGCATAACTCAGCTGACTCAGTAAGTCATACATATGACTATATATCACACATACATACATACTATTTTTTTTTATATATAAAAATATTATATTCTACTCTAATTAATTAATAAAGTAGTTAATTAGATCACTGTCTGTAATTTCATTAACCAATCCTTTTTGCAATTAATTACAAACAGCACCCTAGAACTTGGGAAGCTCAGTTTCAGTCCGGTATTAAGGTACTGCTAATTAGGTTAAATCGATCCAATAAATAAATAAATGTATATATACAAATCAAAAATCCATTAATTTTATTTTGATGTCAATTTAATTAAACTGCAGACCATTGCCTTGATTGCTGTGAGAGAAGGTGTCATTCAGTTAGGCGCTGTTAACAAGGTTCTTACATCTCTCTCTCTCTCTCTCTCTCTCTCTCTCTCTCTCTCTCTCTCTCTCTCTCTCTCTCTCTCTCTCTCTCTCTCTCTCTCTAACGCACAAACACACACTGTTGGTACTAATTTTGATATTTAAAAAAAATAAAAAATAAAAATGAAAAAGGTGATTGAAGATCTGAGCTACGTTGTGCTGCTAAGAAAGAAACTGAGCTACATAGAAAGCATACCAGGAGTTCTACTGCCGCACCCATCTTCATCGGCGTATCCCAATTACAAGAGCGGCGGCGATCCGTACGGCGGCGGCGGCGGTGGAGTAATGCCGCCGTTAGAGGCATGGAATAATAACTACCATATGCCGCCACCAAATCATGAGCATCATCAATTCTACGAGCATAATTTCTCCAATTTAAATAACAATAATAATAATAATAGTAATCCAGCGATGAAAATAGCGCCGTCGATGAGCAGCCTGGAAGCACTGCTGTCGAAGCTGCCGTCGGTTGTACCAGGAAGTACAACAGCTGCTTCTGGTGGGGCCCACTTCGAAGCTCAGAATCAGCTGTACTTATCTTCTGCAACTAGGTCTTTGGAATTAATGGGGATCGAGAAAGTTGCTAAGGAAGAGTACGAGGAGGAGGAGGAGGGTGGTATGCAGGAGAATAATGATGGTGTCACCGGAGGAGGAGAGAGTACTAGCGGCGGCGGCGGTGGTGGGTATCACCACCACCACCTCCGCCACCACCACCAGCAGTATAGTTATCACCATGACTTGAATGTAAGTAGCAGCATGGACAACAATGGATGCTGATGATGTTTTCATGATTGATATATATATCCTATATATATTTATATATATGATCATATGTATGTATGTTTAACGTTGTATGTAGTACTTTCATTATTATTATAAGGTTGTTTTAATGATGATGATGATGTTGTAGTTTGAGAATTAATAAGCGAGGAAAATTAATTAAATCAGTTATTATGATGATTTCAATTTTTTATTTTTTTAATATTTTTTTATACAATTGGCTAAAATTTTACATTATCTTAAAATCCCCCTTAATGAAAAAAAAAAAAAAAATCTTACAATTCCACACCAGAGTATTTACTCTGGCCAAGGAAATGAGTACTATTGATTTATTTTAGGAATATCCTTGGAATCTAAATAAGTATATTATTGATGATATTGTTAAGGAAAAAATAAAAATATTAGACGAAGGATTTTTTAAAGGGCAAATGTAATTATACAGACAATTTTTTTTTTTTACATAATTTAATTTTGGGAAAAATACTTTTCATTCCTCAATGTTTATCAAAAAAACACATTTGATCCCTCATATTTCAAAAATTCAACACTTTTAATCATTTCCGTCGAACCAACGGAATCAAGCTTGTGTCCATCACTGCACTAACTGACGAATTAACGGTAAATTAACATAAATGACCAAAAGTGTTACATTACGGTATCATGATGCACCAAAATGTCTTTTTTTGTAAAAATAGGCTACCAAATATGGAATCAGTGCAAACTTGAGGGTTGTAAAACATAGTTTTCCAATTTAATTTTATTTCAAAGGGTGTTAGTAATTTACCTCAGAAATAAAAGTATATTAAAGCCGGAAAATAAATAATATTTTAAATATAGGCTCGAAGCCCAAGAAATAATTTATATGGTTAAAGCCCAGTAGTATTGTGTTGGGATGGGCTAAATGAGAAGCCTGCATTTTATTTGCTCTACTATTTTTATTGCAATTGTTTTTTTTTCCATTAATATTTATTTTAAAAGACATAACTATAATTGTCACCTAACTTTAGTAGATGTCATAAAAATAATAAAGAGAAAATAAGTAGTACATTAATTTATTTATTTCATATGCAAAAGCATATGTTATTGAATTCAAAACATTACAAACTCAAATGCAGAATCAATATAATAAACCAAGAACACTTCTTATTTATTATTATTACATATATTATTGAAATAATTAGTGAGAAAGTAAATAAGCATCCAAATCCTGGAAACTCTTGATAGCAAAATCCTTGATGATATCTGGATCGGGAACTTGTTCATCCGCCTTGTCGAATTCACAGCACCATTTCACGACACTTCCGTCGCCTTTAGTGTTCACACCTAGGCTCGCCTTGAAGTTCTTGTAGTATTTCAACACATCTCCGTCGATCACAATGTAGCTCAGGCTTCTCTTCTCTTCGTCCACCTCTTCTATCTTCTCTTTCGAACTCGTTATTTCCGTCGAACCTGCATCATCATTGATCACAATGTAGCTCAGGCTACGGAGCCAGAATTTTTATTTTCATATAGAGTTATTAGCACAGACCCCCATTGTGGTCTCTAATTATCGAAGAAAAACGCCTATGTTAAAAAAAACTAGCAATAATCCCCATATATTACGTTTTCCAAAGCACACAGCTCCTTACAATAAATTGGTTTTTGACTTAAATGAAATGACAAAATTACCCCTAATAATTATTAAAAAATATTTCAAATTAAATAAACAAAATGAATTTTTTTTATATTAAATATAAAAGAAAATTATGGGGTGAATTCATAATTTTCTAAATTTATATTCTAAAGGGTATTTTGATCTTTTGATGTTAAAAAACATAACCCGAGCCGCGATATCCGCGCGTGCAACACACATTCATCTCGTGGAGACCTAATTGGCTTAGACTAACTCTTTTAGGGGATTTTTTTCTAATAATTTGAACATGAAGGCTGTTTCAGCAATTAGAGATTACACAAAAGTGATTCTTGCAAAAAAAACCCTTCTTATATATTACCTGCATTGGGTGGGTACTTCATCAGACGAACAGAGCCGGCGGACTTTCCGTCGCCTTCGAGAAGCTCGACGGAGTTGTACTGATTGGGCAGCGCTTTGGGGAAGACGGTGGTCGATTCTCGGATGCTTTCCCAAATCTTTTCTGCGCTCGATTTCACCTCAACTTCCACTTCTACCTTCGACGACATCTCTTAAACTAATTTTATATATAAACACAATCTACAGTGTGTGTTTGTGTTTGTGTTTGTGTTTGTGTTTGTGTTTGTGTCGAAGTGAAGACGAACCCCTGCACGTATATATAGGCATATTTTCTAGGGTTGTTCTCTATTTTCTTTTTTTGACAGCTGGCAGCTCCGATTAGCCATGTATCATGTATGTGTCAGATATATGATATATGGTACTGTAAGCATTTATTGAAAAGAATTATATTCCAACTACCATCTCCCTCTCTCTCGTTCAAACTCAATTAAATTACTCGATCTATCAGCTACTCGTGCTCGATTCGTATTCGACTCGATTAAATATATCATTCGAACTCGATTCGATTGCCTTACTAAACCAATTAGTTGAATGGTGATTTCGAAAAGTCGTGGATAATTCAAATAAATTTGAACAATTACGCGTTCTGCTCGACTTAATTCATTTAGTCTTATTGTCCTAAACCATAACACTCGTATGTATCTATAGTATTTTCATAAATGCAAAATATATCCAAAATATTGGTGGCAAATTCGCAATAAATGAGTTAGTTACATTGCATTGATTCTTCTGCTACAACTGACGGTTCATTACTGAACATTATTTATATATTTTATATTTTCAATAATAAATATATATAAAAATTTAATGCACCGATAAATATAAAGATTTGATTTCTCAATATAATGAAGATCGGCCAAATATGATATGGCTCTTTAATAGCAGCATATGCATGCAACTGCTCAAAAATCAAAACTATGCAGTTGGTGGTTACAAACCATAAAGTTGTCTACCTATTTGGAATTTTATATTATATATATATATATATATATATATAAACAACCTTAAAAAAAATTCAGTTAATAATTTACAGAAGGAAAAGAAAGAAAACCATATTAACCTCGAGAAAATCTCGAATGCAAGGATGTACCTAGGCCCAATGTTTGCAAATGGTTTTCAACATTGGCCCAAGCCCAGAGATTTGTAACCCAAAACAAATAAAATAATTAATTAGATAATAAAGTCAAAAAAAAAAAAAAAAAAAAAAGAAACTAATATTTGGGTAATTACAATTTATCCTATCAACTATAAATCTTCTTACAATTTTACCCATTCGAGCTCCACATTTTGAAATAAAATGATCATAAGATGTGCCAGATTGTGGTGGTGTATCAGAAACTGAATTTTTGCACAAAACGAGTACACAGTAGTTAGAGAACATTCCACGGAAAGAAATCTAGAAGATTATATTGAATTTGAAACCATAAAGGTAGACATGTAAGAAGATTCATAGTCAAACATGATGGTTATAATTACCCAAACAAGAGGGGGATTTTTGTAATTTGATATTACCTTAGGGTGGTGGGTGTAATTTACCCTAATAATTAATCAACAGAAACACACTAATAAAAAAAAAAAAAAAAAAAAGAAGAAGAAGAATTTCCCAACAAACAGAAGTTACTTTCAAGAACCGTAATGGAGACATTTGATTTTGAGTAAGAGGTTTAAAAACGATCAACAGAAAAATCAAATGAAAATAACCTCTCAACCATCGCATATTATTACTATATTCTTTTTCGACCAAACAAAACAAAATCTGAAAAATCATATGTACCAAGAAATAGCAAAGCAAGCAGCTTGTCTTTCATTTTCAAACATTTAATTTAATTTTTTATTTTAATTTAATTTTCTTGCTGTAGCTTTTTGGCTGTAACTTCAAGTGTGAGAGATCCTAGTTGTTGGAACTAAGTATAATATATATGCACAAAGCTAACTTCTCTCATCACTTGCTTTATACACACTCCGATTTCGATTCTCTTACTTAACCCGACGAACAATCCTATGCTGTAATAAAACCCTTTTCTTTTTTTCGTTTTCCGCAAGAAAAATGCCTTTCGGATTAGTGTCTGCGTGGAATAAACGGAGGAGAAGCAAGTCCGAGGATCAAATCAATCCTTGTATACGTATTTTCTATCTCTTACGTATGTAACTTCAATTAATCCATAGTTCTTCTGACGAAGATCGATTTTTTTATTTTTTTTTAATTTGCAGGGACATACAAACCAGTGGAACACTGGCAAATCGAATACAGAAAACCGCCAGCTAAAAGACGAGATACGTCAGCAGTATTTACAGTCAAAGAAATGGAAGAGGCGACGTGTTCTTTTAGCGACGAATATCTTCTTGGGAAGGGAGGATTCGGTCGAGTGTACAAAGGCACTCTGAAATCCGGTGAGGTTAGTATTTCTTATTATCTTTCGTAAAAAAAAAAAAAAAAAAAAAAAAAAAAAACGTAATCTAAGTAGTATAAATTCGGGATATTAATTCACAGGTTGTGGCGATCAAGAAAATGGAGTTACCGTCGTTTAAAGCAGCACAAGGGGAGAGAGAATTTAGGGTGGAGGTTGATATATTGAGCAGATTGGATCATCCAAATCTCGTAAACTTAATCGGTTATTGTGCCGATGGGAAGCAAAGATTCCTCGTGTATGAATACATGCACAAAGGGAATTTGCAGGATCATTTAAACGGTTGGTTTTTATTTAAATACTATTATTCACTCCAATGCACCTACCTAGAGGGGTAGAAATCAAACGGATCATATCGGAATTAGCATTTTCGCAAAAAAAAATCTGACTTTTTTCCGAAAGTGGGAAATTAATTCCAATTATCTTCCAGAAAAAAAAGAAATCAGAAATAGGAATTTCATGGAAATTAGAACGAAAAAACTAGTTCCAAAATCGGAAATTTTCAGATCGGAATTGGCGGAATTCGGAAATTCCTATTTTTTCGGTGATCAGTAATACAAAATGCATAATATTACTAATATTATAAGTCTAATTTTTTAAGGAAAAAAGAGAGTCAGAAATTTTTGGAATTAAAATCGGATCAAAAATTGAAAACTAATATGTATTCCAATTCAGTTTCAAATAAATTGGAACTGTCGGGAATTTGAAAAAACAAAGAATATTGTTTCAAATTTTGAATTTTTTAGATCGGTATCGGCTGAAATTGGAATTTCCGTTCCAATTTGTACCCCTAAATGCACCTGATTATCTACTAATGGTTTTTTTTTTTTTTTAAATTAAGGAATAGGAGAAGTAAAGATGGATTGGCCTTTGAGGCTGAAAGTGGCAATCGGAGCAGCAAAGGGACTCGCGTACCTACACTCGACTTCCGACGTCGGAATTCCTATCCTCCATCGAGATTTCAAATCCACCAATATTCTCCTCGATGATAATTACGAAGCAAAGGTAAGAATAAGTAACTAATTAATTTTCGAGCTTTTCTAATTAAATATATATAAATCAAGAACTTATCATGACAAGCTCTTAAAAGCAGATATCCGATTTCGGGCTAGCAAAATTAATGCCGGAAGGCCATGACACTTGTGTGACTGCAACAGTACTCGGCACTTTCGGCTACTTCGATCCGGAATATACCTTGGTATATTCTTTTCTCTACTCGAAATAGAATCTTTTTAAACTACGAAATATAGAGAGCCCAAATTATAATTCTAATTTTATCAACAGACAGGTAAACTCACCCTACAAAGTGACGTATACGCATTCGGAGTTGTTCTACTCGAGCTTTTGACTGGAAGAAGAGCGGTTGACCTGAACCAAGGACCGCACGATCAGAACTTAGTTCTTCAGGTTCATGCACTAACACACCGTATTATCCATCACTGTCCTAATTAGAATGTAATTAACCATATTAATTAGTCACTAATTAATACAGGTTAGGAATATACTAAAGGAGAAGAAGAAATTGAAAAGGGTGATCGATCCGGAAATGGGGCGAAGCTCTTACACAATGGAGTCGGTTTTCATGTTCGGAAACCTAGCTTCGAGATGTGTTAGGATAGACAGCCAAGAAAGGCCCTCGATGATTGAATGTGTAAGGGAATTACAAATGATACTTTACGTCAATTCGAAAGGACTTGGATTGACCATGCATACGTTTAGAATGATATGAATAAACGGGTTTTTTTTTTCCGAGTAAGCTTATTTAAGTATCGGACCAACATAAACGGTTGATTGTTATATTATAACTCTATTTTCCAGGGTCGTATTCGACTATTCGTAATCGTGTATAGTGTTGTACAACAACAATACCGAGAATTTTTTAACATAAAAAAAATCACGTTTGTTACCTCAAGAAAGATGTTCGTTCGGAAAATCTAGTTCAGAAACATCGTCGGGGAGAGGAGGGAATTCCTTGCGCATCAAATGCCTGCGTCTTTGGAGTGTTAGCAACGTCAAGATGCTGTCTGTCTTAACGACACTGTAGCCTGCTCGCGTGTACATGTTGAATGGAGCTTCATCGATTATTCTGCAATGGAGATACACTTCTGTCGAGGAACTCATTTTCGTAATAAGCTCCTCGCCCGCTTTCAGAAGATGCCACCCGATTCCTCTCCTGTAAGAAAATCAGGGGTAAAAAAAAAAAATCCTCAAATGTGAAATCACTTCCAATACGACACCCGAAAACACGAAAACCCAAAACCCGAAACCCGAAAACCATCTTGCTATCGAAGTAAAATTAAATTCAAAATCACTTCCAATACGACACACGAAAACCCGAAACCCCAAAAACCCGAAATCCATCTTGCTATCGAAGTAAAGTTAAATTCAAAATCACTTCCAATACAACACCCTAAAAACCCGAACCCGAAATCCATCTAAATTCAAAATCACTTCCAATACGACACCCGAAAACCCGAAAAACCCGAAATCCATCTAAATTCAAAATCACTTCCAATACAACACCCGAAAACCGGAAATCCATCTAAATTCAAAATCACTTCCAATACGACACCCGAAAACCCGAAAAACCCGAAAACCCGAAATCCATCTAAATTCAAAATCACTTCCAATATGACACCTGAAAAACCCGGAACCCGAAACCTGAAACCCATCTGGCTATCGAAGTAATATTAAATTCGAAAAAAGACGATTAACATTTTATTCAATTAACATTCAAGAACTTCAATTTTTCTAGACCTAATTAGATTTTTTTCTGAACAAACCCAAGAAAGGATCAAGAAACAAATAGTGCTACTACCTACGAAGCGGCTTCGACACAGCCATATTGCAAATGTAGGGAGAGCCCTTGGGCGGTGTTGGCGTCGGAGGATTCGCATTAGCGCCGGTCTGATTGAAAGTCAATTCGACGGTGCCGGCCAATTCGAAGTCTTCTTCTCCATCTTCTCTGTAAACTCCGATGAGAGTGGCGTTGTGGGGGCTCAATAATCTTCTCTCAATCAAGTAATTCTTGACCAAGAATTCGAGCAATTTCACATAACCCGCCGCCATCATCATTGATTCTGCGAAAGATTCCGACAGCAAGGTAACGGTCATGTCGATTTCCTCGTCCCGCATTAAGCGGACCCAGAGAAGGCCGGTTTTTAGTTGGTGGTGGTAGCTGTAGTTTCCGAGTAGATCCAGCTTCTCGAGCTCTTCATTGGTGAGAAAACGGCCGGTGCGGAGTGGGGTTTGGAGTGGCGGCGGCGGCGGCGGTGGTGGTGGTGGTGATGGGGAGGAGTTGGTGGCTGAGAGGGAGAAGCTGGGACGGCTGCGTTTGGGGAAACTGAGGAAATGGTGGTGGTGGTTTGCGGCGGCGGAGTGGTGGTGGTGGTGGTGGTGGAAGGGCTGACGGTGTAGGGAGATGGAGATTGAAACTTGTGTTGCCATGGGCGAATCAAAGAGCTTGGATAGAAGATATTATTATTATTGTGGGTGAATTTTGATTTCGATTTTACATTTCTTTACTCTATTTTGGGAACCATGGGTTACAAGTGTTGCGTATTTGGGAAATTATTTAATGATTTTAATTACTTTATTTAATTATGTCTCCAAATCCAACACTCTATTTATTAAGTGTACAAATTATCTTCAAACTTCTTATCGAAAAAAATAAAAAATCTTCAAACTTATAGTACACCAGAAACACAAGAAAAATGTGATTTCTTCTTTGTTTTTTTGTTTTTTATTTTTATTTTTATTATAAAGGAAATCGTAAGGGAAAATTTCAGTTTTCATCCCTCAAGTTTATACTGATTTCACATTTGGTTCGCATGTTCACAAAAACACATTTGGTCCCTATTTTTCAATAATTTAACATTTTTAGTCATTTCCGTCAATGTATCGTTAGTTCGCTAGTTAAGAAAATGACGGACACATACTTAATTCCGTTACTACTAACGAAATATTGACGGAAAAGACTAAAGTGTTGAATATTTGAAACATGAGGGATCGAATGTGTTTTTTGTGAACATGAGTGACCAAATAAGAAATAATTGCAAAGTTGAGGGATGAAAATCGTATTTTACCCGAAATCGTAGCCAACCATATAGGTGCACTGAATAAACCTACACTCTCGTATAATAACTTACAAACCATACGAGAGACGTAAATTAACAATTACAATTTACCTCTTGTAGTTTGTCTAGGAGTGTAAAGTGAAATGATTTATTTAAAATTTTGTAGATTCGAACTCGATATTTTTTTTTATTGTGAAACAACAATTTCCTTTCTGAATTTCAAAAATTCCGATTTTCCGATTTTGATTGCAGATTTTATTTCATTTCGATTTTTTTTAGTCAAAATGTACACTTATAGCACCCCTATTAAAATATATTTTTATGGTATAGGTGACTAACAAATTAGAAATTCTGAAAACGGTCGATTTCAATCAAAAAAATTCCAATTTCCGACTAGTTTTTCGTTCCGATATTTTTGAAACGGAATTGGAAATACAATTCCAAAGAGAAATCGAAATACTCCTGAAAATGCTAATTTTGATTGGATCCTTCCAATTTCCACCTAACTATTATTGGATATGCATAAATAAAGATCAATCAATTACGTCGTCGTATAGTTTTTTCCTGGGTTTTTCAAATCAAATTCCTTTACTTTAGCTTGAAATCTTCAATGAACTAAGGGCAGAACACCAGAATTAATCATGGCCGTAGGATCAAGTAAGGAAAATGAATGAGAAAGTCGCAAATCGTATATAGAAATCATACGACCATTGGTTGACCGGGATGCTAGAAAAGTCAACTTCTTTTTATCAATGAACAGTCTATCCAATAAGGTCCCGACACGTGGGGAACCTAATTCCTAATCCACATATTTGCGGTTCTTATTGTTAGTTCTTTATTCTTAACTTCAGTATTTTACAAGCTACCACTTTAATAAAGGATATTGAAAAGTAGTAATCTGTGAGCATGAAAATTAATCATAATTAAGGAATTAATATAGATATAATTAATAATAGATGCTGCAGTGCATGGCCCATATTTATTGTGTTTATTTTAATTGCATGCATGGAAATATTTTTCACTTTTATTACGCATATATATATGTGCAATAATGCCAAATCACGACTTTTTTTTTTGTTTATATTTATTTTCTGTAATTATTAATTGACACACAAAAAAGATTCCCCTGTTCTGGACAGAGGCCTTCAACTCAGAGTCACATTAGCACCAATGATGTAGGCCGGATATGTATGGATAATGGATGCATATATCTACACACACAGTATACACACACACACACACACACTATGTGAGTAATAAAGATGGCAGATGCTTATAAACTTTTATCTTTTAATTAGTGAGAGAAGAGAACAATTTAAAGGGAATTGCTTATATGGCACAGAATATAATCTCTCTCTCTCTCTCTCTCTCTCTCTCTCTCTCTCTCAACATTTGCTTTACGTTGTTGCTTGTACGCTTCTTCACTTTGGTAGAAGAAAATAGTAAATACTACTTCCTTTTGCATGTTTTCTATTTTACAGATCATCACTCTTACACACTTTCATAAAGATATTATATTGCGTTGTTTCTCCACTTTCTTCCCCCGTTTCTTTTCCGTTTTCTCTACGTGGCAAGATTTTCTATAAACTAATCTGTAATAATTTGAAATCTTGGCATTTGTTGATACTTTAAACTATATATCAGGCCGAAAAAGAAAAAAAAAGCGTGAAAGGACGCAGAAAAAAACATGGCCGGAGGAGGAGGAGCGGCGGCACCACCACCAAAACAAGACGAATTGCACCCACATCCGGTCAAAGATCAACTCCCCGGAGTTTCTTATTGCATTACTAGCCCACCTCCCTGGCGTACGTCGTAACCCCTTTTTCTTCTCGATCGATCTTCATATTATATATTTATTTTTGTTTAATTAGTCTTAGGTTTAAAATATTTATGTGTTAAATTAAATGTTTGTGAAATTTAATGAAGCTGAGGCAATACTGCTTGCTTTCCAACACTACCTTGTGATGCTTGGTACAACTGTTCTCATACCCTCCTTTTTAGCTCCCCAAATGGGAGGTGGAAATGTAAGATTTTTTTATATTTAATATTGTTTTTTTTTTATCAAATTAATTATATTTTAATTAATTAATTTATCTGATTTTAATTAGGAAGAGAAAGCTCTAATGATTCAGACACTACAGTTTGTTGCCGGTCTGAACACATTAACTCAGACACTATTCGGAACTCGGTTACCTTCTGTTATCGGAGGCTCTTACACATTTGTGCCAGCTACTTTGTCGATTGTCTTGGCCGGTCGATATAGCTCAATTTTGGACCCTCACGAGGTGATCGATTCCATACGTGCCCAAAATTAATTTAACCGACTTTTAACTAACTCGATTCTTTGATCGATCTATAGAAATTCGTTAGGATTATGAGAGGAATTCAGGGTGCTATGATCGTGGCTTCCGTTCTTCAGGTCGTTCTTGGATTCAGCGGCTTTTGGCGAAACGTGACCAGGTGAATTTTATTTAAAAGTTGAAAATTTTAATTGATTAAAATAAAAAAATTTGGTCCGATTTTCGTTTTAAAAAATTTCAGGTTCATGAGCCCTCTTTCGGCAGTTCCATTGGTAGCGCTCACCGGATTTGGACTATACGAATTAGGCTTTCCTCTGGTAATTAATTAACTTTTATTTCGGATATATATATATATTTTTTTTTTCGCAATCGGCCAGTTATAAATGCTAACACGAGCTATATATAATTAGGTAACGAAATGTGTGGAAATCGGACTACCTCAACTTATCTTACTAGTGATATTTTCACAGTACTTGCCACATGTGATGAAAGGGGGTAGAAACGTCTTTGATCGATTTGCTGTGTTATTTTCGGTTGCCGTTGTTTGGATATACGCACATTTACTCACCGTTGGAGGAGCGTACAAGCATGCTCCCGATGCAACTCAATCGAGCTGCAGAACTGACAAAGCTGGAATCATAAGTGCTGCTCCTTGGTAATTATAACATAATAATCACTTTTGAAAGAAAAAAAAATCGAGCAATCCATCTAGAAACGAGAACATCGGATAAATTCTCGATTAAAACTATTTACAGGATCAGAGTACCGTACCCGTTTCAATGGGGTGCTCCTACTTTCAACGCCGGAGAATCTTTCGCCATGATGGCAACTTCTTTCGTGGCTCTCGTTGAGGTACGTAATTTGTAATTGTCCCGAACTTCTTGATCAAATTACGAAAATGCCATTCTGTTTTTTTTTTTTTTTTTTTGTTTGGCAGTCGACCGGAGCTTTTATTGCTGTGTCGAGGTATGCAAGTGCAACTCCTATCCCACATTCTGTTCTTAGCCGTGGTGTCGGATGGCAGGTAAGCGGCGTTTATTTAATTCCGTCGCTTTTTTTTTTTGTTTGTAAATTTTTACGTAATCATATATAGAGACTAATCCGCGTATGCGATTACGTAAATTTGAAGGGTATGGGGATACTATTGTCCGGAATTTTCGGAACCGGAACAGGATCATCGGTATCTATGTAAGAACAACTCTTCTTCGCTACGCTCGTCTAACAAAAACTTAATTTTATTTATTTATTTATTATTATTATTTTTCCGGACAGTGAAAATGCCGGTTTGCTTGGGCTAACACGAGTCGGAAGCCGTAGAGTGATACAAATATCTGCAGCTTTTATGATATTTTTCTCAATACTTGGTAACTAATTAACCACATTAGTTTTTATTTAATTGCCGAATAAATAATACATTAATCGTTTTCAATCGTTACGGTTATTACATCTCAGGAAAATTCGGAGCTGTCTTCGCTTCGATCCCTTCACCAATAGTAGCTGCATTGTATTGCCTTCTATTTGCCTATGTTGGTATGTGATCACTATTTCATCCCATTAATTAATTAATTAATCAAACACTAAATAAATAATTATTCCGTCGAAATTAAACAGGCGTTGGAGGGCTCGGTTTCCTGCAATTCTGTAACTTAAACAGCTTCAGGACAACATTCATCATCGCATTCTCGATCTTCATGGGATTATCCGTACCTCAATACTTCAACGAGTACCTATCCGTGAATAAATTCAGCCCCGTTCACACCAACGCTCGATGGGTACGTACGTAATTAAGCATCTTTTTTTTAGTACAACAATAGTAATTATCCCTTAACCTATTGACATAATTTCTTTTTTTGTTTTTTCAGTTTAATGATATGATAAACGTGCCATTGTCGTCGAAACCGTTTGTTGCGGGAATTTTAGCGTTGATTTTGGATGTGACGTTGCCGCCAAAAGACGGTGGTACGAGGAAAGATCGAGGGATGCAATGGTGGGATAAATTTAGGTCTTATAAAACAGATACTAGGAGTGAAGAGTTGTATTCTCTGCCTCTTAATCTCAATAAGTTCTTCCCTTCTGTTTAGTTTGAGATTCAAGTGTGTGTGTGTGTTTTAATTTTATTTTGGATAAATAAAAGAAAAATTAAATTGGCTACTCTTTTTTATTTATTTTTATTTTAGAGATGAAACAAAGTGTTGTTCAATGAATTTGAAATGAGGTGTGGTTTGGTCTGCCAGTATATTTTTTTGTCAGTAGGCCAAAAGACAAATTGAAAAAGGACAAGGGGTCAAAATAATATAAGATAGAAGATAACTTGTCTGGTAAAAGCAAATTGCATGGTGAGCAACTAATTTCAAGAAATGACAATACGGCCACAGTTTTCTGCACAAGGCGAACAAATTAGTACCAATTATAATTGCTTTGGTGTCTGCAGATGTTATGGCAAACTGTGCAAATTGGCATTAAATCATAATCATTATTTAGGCAAGAAGACCGCTCGAGCCACGTGTCGTCCCGTGATTGACCAATAATTTACATGGGTCCCCAAATTGCCATGTTTGAAGAGGAAATGATCCATTTAATAGTTTAATGTTCTTGGAACTAATTAAACCTAGGGTTTCCAATAGTTTAGTTACAATTTACTCCACAAAAGTCAAAGATGTTCAGCAAGATTTAGGGTTTTCTGAATTAATTAATTAATCTTACTATTGAGGAAAGAATCTTTGCACAAAACACAATAATCACCATAAATATTCCCTTTGAATTTTCTTTCTTCTTCTCTTGAAATCTTGGAACTAGGGTTATTTTACATAAACTTTGATATATTTATGATATTTCCTTATTTTATATTAAAAGTTAAAAAAAAAAATAATAGCTTTCTTGACAAGTGTTGACTTTTATTAATGGGTAAAAAGAAACACTGACATGTAAAATCTTGTGAATTAGGACCAAAATTGTCACATTAAAGAGATGGAAACAAAAGTGTCCAATTTAGGCTAAAGACAAAATGCCACCTATCTTATGGGACCAAAATTGCAATTAATTAATCTACATTCAGCTTCCCAGTTGTGATAACTAAAGAAGTAAAGATGATAACTATTTAGGCCTTTTTATTTTTTGTTGGAAAAATTTAATCTATTCTAGTAAACAGCTTAATGATGGTTTGCCACGTGGCACATTCCCCATAATCCTCAGCCGGCCCCCATTTCCCTTGGCCATTAGTATTAAATTATTAAATTATTACACATGCAATTTGTAACATAACAAAACCATTATTACATTACATTAATTAATTAAGTATTTTTTTTTTCAAAAATAGCGTTACCTAGTTTATTTATGGGTAAATTCCACTTTACACCCTCGTACTCTGCTTGAGAGTCACTTTACCCCCTCGTACTCTCAATTTTATCAATTTACCCCCTTGTACTTGTACAATTTTCCAATACAGCCCTTTCCTTCAATTTTTGTCAATTTTGACTCTAACGCCATTTGGTCAACTCTGTAAATTACAAAATTGCCACTGTCTATAACGCGTCGTTTCCCCTCCGTCAATATTGTCATTTCTTCTTCTCCCACCACTTCCCCTTCCAAGATATCCCCAAATTGAACCCCTAACTTAGTAAAAATCAAGACCCAAAAATTGATCGATTCCACCCAGTGCAAAGAAAAAAATGTATGAATGTGTGAAACTTTCTCTTTTCTAATCTCGAGAGTCAAAATCGAAAAAGTTCAATATTTACGTCAATATTTTGACTCTTGACCAAATGGTGTCGGAGTCAAAATCGAAAAAAGTTGACGAAGAGGGTTGTATTGGGAAATTGTACAAGTACAAGGGGGTAAATCGACGAAATTAAGAGTACGAGGGGGTAAAGTGGTTCTTGGGCAGAGTACAAGGGGGTAAAGTGGAATTTACCCTTTATTTATTTCCCTTATCTCTCTTCTCCCATTACTAATTCCTTCATCTTCCTCACAAACATTCTTTTTTTAACAAACTTAATTTGTTAGAGAGAGAAAGAGAGAGAGAGGGTAAGAGGAAAATTTAAAATTTTAGAGAGAGAAGAAAAGATTAATATATATATATAGATATAAAAATGGGGAATTGCCAGGCAGTGGATGCGGCGGCGCTAGTGATACAGCATCCATGTGGGAAGCTGGAGAGAATGTACTGCCCTCTCACCGCCAGTGACGTCATGAAAACCAACCCCGGCCACTACGTTTCTCTTATTATCCCGCTTTCCGCCGCCGCCGACGGCGGCTCCGGCGGCCATGAGAGAAAATCATATGACGTCATCAACAAGAGCCCCGTTCGGTTTACACGTGTCAAGCTTCTCCGACCAACCGATACTTTGTTTCTTGGCCATGCCTATCGTCTTGTCACCACTCAAGGTCAGCTAGCTTTTTTTTTTTTTTTTTTTTTTTATTTCATTGAATAAATTAAAAGATCTTATTTTTATTTTTCTTATTTATTTTTTTGGGTCGTTTGAATTTTGGGTTTTTGTTTGCAGAGGTTATGAAAGTGATTAGAGCAAAGAAGCATGCAAAGATGAAGAAGAAGAATCTGCTGTCAGAATCCGAGCCTGAATCAGGGAACAATATTGATCAGGTATTATTATTAATTCTCAGCCGTTGGATTATGAAATGTGATTTTATGATGAAATTACTAAGCTTGATTATATTGTATATTAATTATCTAGTTCATTTTTTGGTACATATCTTAATTATATTCACATAAACATATGCATTAATTTGATCAGAAAAAATCCACCATATATAAGATTGTTTTATTTTGTAATGTACTAATAATAATGTATCTAGTTATATATATTATATATATAATGAAAGAATGTTAAATAAACTGACAAATTTCAGGCCGACTGCAAAAACCGAGAGCGGTCGGGATCGACAGATGTAGCGGCGGGAAGGGGCAAATCGTGGCGGCCATCTTTGCAGAGTATATCTGAGGCAGGAAGCTAATTAATCATGCTTATAATTAATTATGGATGGTATTAATTACAAAATTCTTCAACATGAAAAAATATAAGTCTTGTTTGTAATTTTGTTGTTGTATAGGGACTCGGAAGCAAAATAGAGACTCTTTTTTTCTCGATGTACACACTGAAATTTCAGTATACCAACATAATCTTGTTTTTCTTTATCTTGCATTGCATTCTCGACTAAACCTAATAAACCATGAATTAAATTTAAAATCGACAATACACATGCGACCGCGCGTCTGTTTGTTTGTGTGTACGTGCGACAAAAGCTCGAGTAAATTTGGCACGACTCTCCAATCTCGGGACCAAGAAAAATAATAGTTGTTACCTTACGGTCAATTACACACACACGTGTGTATGTGTGTACTTAGCGAGTAGTTTAGGCCTTAGGGGATAAGGTTTAAAAAGAAAAAAAAATAAACTCAATAAGAGATGAAGTACACATGTCAACATATAGCACACCCGCAGGTTATATTAATTGAGTGTAGCATCGACCCTATGAGTGTGAACGAGCCAAGCTCGCCTGTTTTGACAGGCTCAAGCTCGAGTTTATTTTGTCGAGCTCGAGCTGGAGTTCGACCTTTCTTCAAGCTCACGAGCGGCTGATCAGCTCGTTTACCACCCATAATCGAGCCTCCCCTCCGCAATTGCCTTGACCCATACAAAAAGAAAAATCAATATTGGGCTGTTTGCTACCAGATATGTTTACAGCCCAAAACAATTAAATTAAAGTATTGCGGGTTTAAAAGTCCACATATATTAGGCCCCTTGACGTTTTGTTTTGGATCGAACTCATCGAAGTCTAGCCCACAGCAAATTTTCAGCCCAATAATAATATTAATTCCAAAGAGAAAATTTATAAATTAGAAATGAAAAAAACTATTTCAAAAAAAAAAAAAAAAAAAAAAAAATTCGAACGGAAGAAAATCGTATTTTTATAAGGATTAACTGATGTGTATTTTTTAATTCGTCTTTAATGTTTAATTTACAATAATATTAACATTATCCCGTGCTAAAAATTTAAGAAAGATGATAAAAGTGGTCTAAATTATCTGCTTAAGGGGCATACGTGGTCCAATAAATAAATATTATGCAGTAAAGTACACACTCAAAAAGTAGCCTAATTTCTTAGTTAACTAAGAAAAGGTTGTTCGACCAATTCCAACTTAAGAAACAAAGCATTGGATATAGACTATTAGTGCAACCAAAAATGGGTACATATGTCTTTTCTTTAATCAAACTTATGACACGTTACTTAATTAAGTTTACTCTGGTTTACATTTCTCTACGTAATTCGCACGTGTAAATGTTTTAATCAGTGCACCTATATAGTATTTAATTTCATTTTTTTTTATAAAATTAATACGTAGTACTCAATATATTTGTTTTTAGAATGAATTTCTAAAACATTGAATTGATGATTATATAGATGACTCTTTTGATTGTCTCCACTCTTTAATGGAGGTCCATGCACTATATCACAAAGCAATAAAGAAACACATTTTGCAGAAGACGCTCCACCCCATATATATTTATTTATTTATATTTATTTTTTTTAGCCCCTCTCTATATTGCAATTGCACATAGCCCATTATATTGTCTTTCGTTTTTTCAGCTACTTTATCTTGAGGGTTTCCAATTGGGATCCAAAGATAAAAAATTATGAGTTGGAAAGAGAGGATTTTTTGGAAAAATTGGTCTCTATCTTTTTGTTGCAAAAAAACAATAAATAAATTAATAAACTAATTAATTAAAAAACACATCTTTTAAGATTACCTAGCTCTTCCAAACATTCAAACTTACATGTTTTAAAGTTTCACGTGCAATAATCCTTTTTTTTTTTTTTGGTTTCAGAAATCTTTACCAAAAAACTAAAAGAATAAAATGCTCTCGTCTTTCTAGGAATCAAACTAGTCATCTTAAGTTGAAAAGTGCTTCTAAATAAAGTTTAATTCTATCATTTTAAATATACTAAATAGAATAGGGTAAATTACGGAAACACCCCTTAACTTGCGGTAAATTACGAAAAAACCCCTCAACTTAGGCTAATTACAAAAAAACACCCCTCTATCTGTAATTATCAAAATCGTCCCGATGTTTATTTCCGTCTTACACCGACTCCTTACGATGTGATTTTTTGAATCTTTTTATTCCAGTTAATATTTCCCTAAAAAATATCAAGTGTACTCCTACCAACATAGCATTTCTTTATGCTACTTTTTAAAGACAAAAATTGCTCAAATCAGTAATTGTGTACTAAAAAATTGTTAATATGTTATTTAAGAAGAAATAAAGATTATGTGTACAGGCCTCCTAAGGGTAATTTTTACCTTAAAAAAAATGTATGAAGAAAGGCCACGTCTGTAGGGGTAGAATCGACATTTTTCGAGAAATATTGCTTGGAAGCGAAAAGATTCCATGAAAAATCACACCGTAAGAGAGTTGATGTAAAATGGAAACAAACGTCGGGGGATTTTGATAATTGAGAATACGTGGGGCGTTTCTTTTATAATTTAGCTTAAGTTCAGGGATGTTTCCGTAATTTACCCTAGAATTAACGGATTGGGTGTTTTTCTTAAGCGTATTAAATATAGAGTCAAATAAATTAAATATGGGAAGTTGGGGGATTATCATAAGTTGATTGTGCGTGTGCATAGTGACTGATAAGACAAAGACATGATCTGTATTATTTATTTGATCTATTACTTATTAATTAATTGGAATTACAAAAGCTACTTTGCTTACTAATTAAACACTCTTCTTAAAGCTTCCACAACAGAATCATTGACCTAATTAGGGCAGCCGATGACTATATATTATATCTTTTATATATATAGATATATGATTATTTTTATTTTTTATATATATTTACATGTTAATTAGTTTCTAGTAACATTATAACATTATCAATTTGTTCAGAATGCAGCCTTCAAAAATAAAATTTTAGTAAGACAAAAAATGTATATTTTCATCCATAGAAAGTGTATCTTTTAAAATTTGTTTATATTCAATAATATATATATATATATATATATATATATATATATATATATATATATATATATATATATATATATATATAAATATAAACATAATTTCCTGCAAATATTTGCTGGCATGAAATAAAATGGGGACACCAAATTAAAGTGGCTATGAGAAATGAAAGTGATGCTGTCTAGCATTCAGCATAAAATCTCAGCTATATCTGCAAAAAGAACACTATTATCAAGAATCATTCCAACTTTTGAATTTTCACGGTTCAATTTATTCAATTCTCTTGTTTTCGTGTTTTGGTAAATTAAGGCCACTCCTGATGTAAGGTCAAATTACGGAAAAAAAATCCATCATGTTTAGGTAATTACAATTACCCCCTTAACTATGAATCTTTTTACATTTCGACCATCATGGTGTCAAATTTAGTGGAATCTTCTAGATTATGTGAAATATTCTTCAATTTGTACATGTTTTGCCTTATTCGAGCTCCACATTGTGAAACAAGATGATCAGAAGATGCATCTCATACCTTGTAAACATCAGATTGTGGTGCATCATAAACTGCATTTTTGCACAAAACGAGTACAAACTAAAGAACATTCCACAAAATGTAGAAGATTATGTTGAATTTCCCCCACCCTCATCGTGTGTCGTTCTCTAAAAAAAAAAAAGATTATGTTGAATTTGACACCATAAGGGTGGACGTGTAAGAAGATTCATAGTTGAGGGGGTTGGTTGTAATTACCCAAACATGATGAGGTTTTTTCGTAATTTAACCTTAGTTCAGGGAGAAACCATAATTTACCTTTTTTTTTTTGTGCATATCACACAAGACAAGAGTAAAGGTTTATACAGTGCACTTATATCATTGTTCGTGATTTTTTTTATATAAAAGAAATAAAAAAAAATAGTGTCACACACACACACACACAAAAGAAATGGATCAAAAGCTGAATTTTAGGGTCCTCTCTAATATACATCTTTGTCATATACATAAATAAAGTTGGATTTTTTATTTAAAAAGTTAATATAATAGTTTTGTCATGAATATAAAGAGGTTGAGAGAGTGACTGAAGAACGCTCCTCTATACCCCTCCAACACCTATGTTTCATATATTTGCAGAGAAATATTAAAGTTTTTTTGGCTTTTAGGCAAATTAATTAATTCATGCTTATATATATATGGTCCTTTTATTCACTTGAGCTTTTGAATTTTGGGATTTTCTTCTTCACACGTACAAAAATCTTTCCCATTTTGTCGTGCTTTTTTTTTTTTTTTTTCCTTCAGATTTATTTTTATTGGAAATATTAATATTACGTGATATTTTTCAATAACAGCTCCAGTTTTTGATGGAAGTGGTTGGTCAGCGTGGTATAAATAAGAGAGCTAGGCCGAATAAAAAGTTTCTGAATTCGAATTTCACAACCACCTATTTCGACATTAATATTACACGATACATTTCATACGCGATCTCATTCAAGTGTGATTTATGATTTTGTTCTAAATCTTGTTTTAGGACGTGATTTTTATTGAAATAATATTGAATTTAAACTAAGATATTATTACATTGTGTACAATTATGAGTAGCTAGAAAATGCAACTATATCAACTATCTAGGCATCAAACTCTCCCCCTATCATCACTATATAGTGGGGTGTCTTAGTGGAAATCTATTGCTGCAAAACTAAAAATATATAAATAAAATAATAATTTGAATACAAAAATAAATAAATAAAATAAGAATAATTATTATAAATATTAATGTATTATCAACTTGCGTAATTTACATTTTTATGAGCATAACATTACGTCATTTTCCATAGTACAATTAATTCTTTGTTCCATTGATTATTAACTTTGTTTTTCCTCTAAGTAGCAAAATAAAAATTAATCAATATCATAGATATAGTTAGGTTAACAGAAAAAATCAAATTGCCGTTTATTTAATAAATATTATTGAATTAAATAAATCCAATCAAGAATATGTAAACACATGGACTAATCGATGCTCCTTAAGTACTTCTGCCCAAAATTCAATTTCTACTCAAATTAAAGTCAGATTTGGATTTAATTAAGTATAATTAGGGATTTCAAATTCATTGACTAATTGTTGTTGCCTTCCACTCTTGTCCTGTTTATTGTCTCTCTCTTCATTTTTAAACACAAATTAAATTAAAGCTTTTCTTGTTTGAGAGCTGCTACTGGATAATTAACGTAATTAGTTGTTAATCACCTAATTAATAATAAATCGGCAAAATGTTATATTCCGTTTCTGATCTGAAAAAGTATCAGTGCATGCACAAAAGTGTTTACCAAATTGCCCCTAATTTAAAACGTTTCAATCATATCTTAATTACATCCATATTCATTTTAAATTAGGAAGAAAATTGCAAGAAATTCTAGGGTTGTAGGAACCACTTAGTAGAAACAAATCAGTAAAAAATGACTTTGTCTAAAGTTTGTGCTGTTACGAAAAGCTATGTCGATTTCCTATATCGCCAACGACTATTGCATCCGACTTTTATCAACAAAAAAAAAAAATTAATTTCATATTTTTTGTTTATATTTTTAATTATGTCATATGATTAAAGTCACACATTCTATGTATCAATAAATTATCAATATCATATATCTCGAGTTATCACTGTAAATTTTGGAATAAATATTTTTTTAATGATTCAATCATTTTTTTTCTTCCAATTTTCTTAATATAAAAGATATTGCATGATTCTCCGACCAGCTACGGATTTTTTTTTATTTTTCTTTTATAAGTTAATGTAGATGCCAGCTGTCCAACCAGGTAATCTCTATACATATATAGTTTGTACTAGCAGAAATTAATTTGTCACAACCTGGTTATTTTTTCCTGAATGTGGACCATTCAATTAAATTAACCAGCTGTTTCATGGCCAACATTATATTTATATTTATTTATTTATAATAAAGATGATTCAGAATTTCACAATTCACAAGTATATATAGTAAAATAATTAAATTAGCATGTGGATTATGAAAGTACGTACTGCCTCAAAGTATATCCTCAGATAACCTTTTTACAGACTATATATTATAAGGCCACGAGCCATGTTTCTTGTTTAAAAATTAAAATTTAAAAACTAAAATTAAATAAATAAATCGAGAAAATCGACAAAATGTATGTCGGAGATGTGGGGGGATATATAAACAAATTGCTTTGCTGGCCTTTCTTTTCTGATTAGAAATTACATTTTAAAAGCATTTAAACTAAAAAAAAAAAAAAACCATAATTACTCAACAGGGTATACTAAAATAAATTTCAGTAAATTATTTAATTTAAATTTTAATAATTATATATATTATCTGATGTTGTACTTGTAACATGAATATAATGGACAAGTGTGTCTGAAATATAGGGAAGATGAGACAGGAAATGGGTCAGCCCACGAGAAAGAAAGGGGTTAACGGGTCAAATTCATTGATTGAAATTGAATCAGTCTATAAATTAAATGCTCAAGGGACCAACTTCTCTGCAGTCCCTTCCATCTATTAAAATTAAATCATTTAAATAAATAAAAAATATATTTTAATTATTTAATTTCCCACTTTTCTTTAAAGTTTTTTTTATACTCAGTGATAAAACAAATGACAAAGCTACAAATTCTTCTTTGTCAATCACATGCACTGCGCAGACCCCGGATTAATGGGTGGGGGGTCGGGTCGGAGGGTATAAAAGGAACAACAATAAAATATTTAACATTTTTTTTTTAAATAATTAATAATAATAATTATTACATCCAAATACAAACAACCATGACAAAAAATTCCAAAATTAAAGGCCCCAAAGACCTTTGTATATATAGTTAGGCCACCTTTTGGCCATACATGAAAGAAACTTTTCTCTCCTTTACACAAAAAAGAAGGGGAAAAAAATTAAAAAAATAAAATAAAAATTCGACCTGCACGCATCCATCACACGCACGTGCAATCCACACTCGAGGATTTTATAAAAAAAAATTTAGCGTCCCGATTATGACGAGGACATGGGAAAAAAAATCGACATTTCCCGCCAAAAAAATCACACATGCACATGTGTAGTAAGTAACACACACCATACGTGTGTATATACATATACATACACATGCACATCACTCAAAAAAAATCAAAAATACCTTATTTATACTTTGGTCTTCCTCTTTATTTCTTCACTTGTCTCTCATACTTAGCCATATTATTTGGTGTCCCACACCAAACTCTCATCCATTCATTCAAATAAAATATATAATGAATGCTACCTTTGAATTCAATCACCTCAATTCCCACTTCATTTATATCATACTCCCCACTACTTTCACTCCAAAATTAATAATTATAATAATAAATACTATGTACCAAACCCAATCTCCCTCTCTTGGGAATCTGCAAAGCCATCCATCCCCATATAGATAGATAGATACACTACTTATATATATATCTACATCACTCATGTCAATTTTTTTATCTCATTACCCTCTGAGAAAAAATATTGAGGATTTTCTACACAAACTTTTAGGACCACCCCCATTTTTTTTTCCAATTCTTTTTTTTTATATATTAATTTTTTTTCGGACCCCTCTTAATTAATCAGAGCTTCTCTTGTCATCATCCTCCCACGAGTCGTTATTTAACTTCCTCCTTTTATAAGACGACGACGACGAGTCGTCACTCAATATAATACTCGCCCGAGTCATGACTCGGTGCTGCGGTAGAACCTTCGGTTGCCTCTTTGCCTTACTTTTCAACATTACTTGTCGTATCGATTCGTAGCAACTCATAATATTATCCTGCACCCAATTTTTTTTATCCTTAAATCAAACACACAATTGAGAAATTAAATGTACATTTATATATATACTAATAATTATTATTATAATAATAAAAAATAATTCTTACTTTGTGAAGGCCATGAGTCCATGACTCAGCATGTTGAGCAGTAATAAAGGAGAAATTTGGGAGATCATTTGCTGCACAAAGAATTGTTGCAGCAGCAATACATGATGGCCTATACTCAAGGAAGCTGGTCTCTGTTTCAAATTAATTAAATTTATTTTTTCTATATAGAATTAAATTAATATTTAATAATTAATTAAAGATACCTTGAATTGTTGAGAGGATAATATCAGTTGCCCTGGAGGAAAGGAATCCAGTGTAGATTCCAGTTGGATCAATTTTAAATGAGAAAAAATTTAGATAGCAAAATGGAGAAATTGATCTAAGTCTCCAATCCAACACCCTTAACACTAGAAGCTCCATTCTTTGTATATTTTTCGCTTCGAAATTAAATCTTGCACCTTCAACCTAATCACGTACAATTTATTTATATATAATTTATTATATTAAAATCAACGTTAATTACCGATATTAGAAGATTAATTAAAATAATTACCTGAAGATCCAAAAGAGAAGGAACAAGCTGTTCCTCCATCTTAGCAGCTAATGACAAGCATGCTACTGACAGTAGTTGCAATGGCCACCCATTCAATTTCTGCAATTATTTTAAACAATCATCTGTAATTACTCTACTAATTAGCATTAATATATATTAATTACTTAGTTACAGATAATGATGCACATAATTGTAATGAATCCCGAGTTTGGTCAAGACCCAATAAGACAAGTTATTATTCATTTATTATTAGTAGTAATATTTCATTAATAATTTGATTAGTGGTAAGTTTGGTACATTTGATGTTATTAAGAAGCTTAATTAATTGAACGCAACTAATTGCCTTTAATTCATGGGAACAGCTCCACACGCGTGACACTTTTTTCTTCAATATACTGTGTAATTATTTGACATTGAGTGGGTAGACAATGAATATGTGTATGTACTATGTACATACTATATAATTAAATCAAAACCTTTAGCAATAATTTTTTTCATTTTTAAATACAAACTTTGGCAATAATTATCAAGATGTAAAGATAATTATACTATATATTAATTAAGCCCAGAGACATAAATTATAATTTAAAGCGTGATTTCATTTCATTAATTATGTAAAATTATTGGATTTTAGACTTTTAAATGTACAGAATCTTAACGACTTTTAAGGTTCTCAGTAATTAGATTAAAAATCCACTAAAAAAATCAATTAATATTAAAAGTTCAGATTTATACTTAAATGGAAATTATTTTTATGAAATGACAGAACGCTAAGGAGTAAAAAAAGGTAACTGAAGGGGTAAAAAAGGAAGGGATTAGAATCTATCGGGAGATTCTCTATATCTAAGAAATATTAAATGTTGGTATATTAATAATTTAATATATTATATATATAATTGTATTTGACGGTGACGGAAGTCTTACCGGCAAGTGGTGGGAGTACAGAAAACGATCGAGGTAGTTGACGGAGAGATACGCCGTCAATGGCTGAAATCCGTAATAACGATGCACCTGCACCAGAAGAAGAAAAAAAAATTCAGAAACTCCACGTAAGCTACGCCGTCAATTAATATTACGCCGTTAGCTAGCCACTTCTCATCGCGTTCTCGATTACACCGCCGGCACACACTAGCACAACCGATCATGATAACACTAAAGTGCACGTCTGTAATTTAAATTAGAATACGCCACCTGCGCACGATAGAGAAGAGCTGCGAACCAGTCGCCGGAATCTGGAAAAAAAAAAGGAATATACCTTGAGAAGCCATGCAACAGATTCTGCCCTAGCGGAAGCCTCAATCAATTGATGATGAGAAGGGCAAGAGCTTATCCCGGCGAGATCTCTCTCGTCTTCCAACAGTCCGGCGATCGATTCCTCGACGTCGATTGGATTTGAATCGAGATCCGACGAATATTCCGGCAATTCATCGCCGCCGCAGGAGAAGATAATATTTGAGTCCTCGCTGCATAGAAGGTCGGAGAAGCAGTCGGAACAAGACAGCGACATAACAAATTAATGCGAATCCGATGATTGATCGGTCGTCAATCTCTCCTGTTCATATTAAATTGCGGAATTTGGCTTCAATTATATTCGCCGGAGATTCATCGGAAAATACGCCGGAGAACTTGGTCGGTGAAGAGAGTGTTTGGGGGTGGGGGACTGTAGGTTTTGTTAGTGTGTTTTGTTTTAGATTCTCTCCTGTTTCCTTCAGATATATAGAGATTGTTAATTTATTTTTTATTTTTTATTTTTTATTTTTGTGCAGTAATAAATTCTTTTAGTATTCCTAATTTTTTTTTCTTATTATTATTCATTTTTTTATTTTATTTTAATAAAAAAATTCTATTTAAAATATCCTGATTAATCCAAATTCCAATGAGGCCCGATCCAATAGGATGGATTGTTATTTATAAGTTGTGATATGTTCGAGTATTAGCTAAAATTTCATCACTTTAGATAAAAATTACATTTAACATCTATAAATTAATATATTTGGAATAGACAAATTTTATTAATTTAAAAAAAAAATATTCAATTAATTGATAATTATTGATTTATATAATTTAGATGAAGCATTAGACAGTCTAATGAAGCCACTAGAGCATTTCAAACTAATCACATAGAACAAAAGAAACACATTAGTTAAAATATTATTGGTGATTACAGCATGACAAAAGGGGAATTTTTTAATTTTTAAATTTTAAATTTTTTTATTAATTATTTAATAATTGGGGCAGAGGAACCATAAAACATGCATATAACTTGTCAATTGTGGACATGATTTGACTTAATTAAACTCATATTAATGATAATAATAACATTTTTAGCTAGTTCATCTAGAATTACAGTAAATAATTAATAAAAGATACAATTATGTTATTAATAATATTTTTAGTATTATTGAAGAGAAGAAATTGTGATGGTGCCCTTCCCACCAACAATTGAAATTGAAACAAATAAAAAAATGGAAATTAATGTGGGAAATATGGACTTAAATGTAGGGGACACTAAGGGAAATGTTACATCAGGTTTTCCAGTAACCCATCCAATTAATAATGCTCATATCATATTTCAACTACTGTTAAACCTACTAACATATTCAATGTCGTGTCAATTTAATTCGATTTCAATTTCAATAACACTATTAATTTTTTTAATAATAATTATAATAATAATAATAATAATAATAATATAGATAGAGAGATAGTCAACATCCCATGAATAAAGCATTTCGGCCCATATCCTGAGGATGAGATATGGGGTTGTGCTGGATGTGGGATATCTGTTCTTCTATATTTAGTATTCTTAATTTCTCTAACTAATTTCTTTTTTCAATGTATATTATGCCCATTTTATTGTTTTAATTAAATTAAAATTCCCTAAACATCATTTTCAACTCCTAACTCTATTTTCATTAATGTTTGTTCTTTATTTTATTTTTTTTCTATATATTTTTCAACAATGCATTATTGTAGTTTGAACAAACTATTAATGGTAACTATTGGTTGTGCCTTGTCAATTTTTTTCTTTTTCCATTATAGGAAAAGAGAATAGTAATTTCGACCTTTTTTTTGGTTTAAATTACGGCAACACCCCTGATTGTAAGATTAAACTACGAAAAACTCTTATGTTTGGATAATTACAATCAACTCCCCTCAACTATGAATTTTCTTACACGTTCAGTTTTATGATGTCAAATTTAGTGAAATTTTCTAGATTATGTGGAATATTCTCCAGTTTGTACCCGTTTTATCCCATTCGAGTTCCAAAATTTGAAACAAGATGATCATAAAATATGTCTTTTGGCTTGTATATTTCATATTGGGAAAAATGAGTTTTTTAGTCCTGTAAGTTTGCTAGTTGAGAGTTTTAGTCCACCATGTTTCAAAATTAGAATTTTAGTCCTGTAAGTTACAAAAGTTGAGAATTTTGGTCATATGACCTGCTATAACAGGTAATGTGATGGTTGGTTGAGTTGACATTTAAAATATAAAAATAAATTAGGTGATGTGGCTAATGAGTTGGAAATTTTAAAAGGAAATAAAATATACCATCAAATTATTTTCATTTGATGAATGAAATCAACATTTTCGTAGTAACTATAT